TGAAAGCTCTACAAACCGTACTATTTACTTTTTTGATATCGTTCTTTCTTTCCTTTAGAAAATCTATTTTTCGGTCGATGACTCATCGAAAAAACGGGTATTTTTCACTTTTGACCCACGTAACTCAATTAGTTGACGGCATATTGTTACGAAATTTTTATGGTAGTGTGGCTAGGGTCTAAGATAGAGAATAAAAATAAACTTTGAAAATCCATTCACAACAACGGTGTTAGTAGCAAAAATACTTCAAAAATGTCATTGTACAAAAAAGTTGCAATTGACTCATATATAGCCCGTTTTAAAAATAATAAAAAGTGATTAGTACTTTGAATCTATTTAAATTTTGAAAGAGAGACAAATCAAATTATTCATCTAAGAGTCATTCATGCGAGTAGTGTCTAAGTCGCTAGTCGAATTCGACTTGAACTTTCGAACAATATTTCTATTCGAAATATTCGATCTATATTTTCAAACTTTAATTTTCGCACTTACAACAGAGTGAAAGGAAATTATGACTCCATATGAGAAACACAGACAAATAATCTGAATTTGCATTTACGGAAACAAAGTTCTTTCAGCACTACAGAATTTGTCTTGGATGAAAGAAAATAGATATGAGAATATCATAGAATTTTTTTCACCAGTTCGTAGAGAACGCTTGGGATTACACGTCGTAAACAAAGTTTTCGATTTCCGGACTTCGGTTTTTTGATAAAAAGAATTTTTTAACCTTTTGGAGTTTTTTTTGTTTCGTTTTACACTTTTCAAGAAAAACTTCATTTTTTATATAAGAGCCATTAAAGATAAGCCACGACCTACTACCATATAATGCTGTTCAATCGACCACCCCAGATTTCTTTCAATATAGGAAGCTTCCCGAAAGAGCCCGAAAACGCACAGATTTCGGCATCGAAAGGTAACTGTCAATTTAAACTCCGTAAAGACTATCACTTAGACCCAAGAATTCTATCATAAATACTAGATAGTGTCTACTACAAATTCACACAACCATGAGCTCCATGCTTTCGTTCTTTCATAGTAGATGTCGTGAGAGTCCACATCATCGATCTGGTCATTTTGGGAAACGATTTTCTCTCGAAAAATGGAGCAAAACTCTCGCTCCCTATGGTATTGTTGGAGTACACCATGTATACTATCATGAGCTATGATGGGATTTTTGAGATCTTCTAAAACCCCGTCCAATACCGAGTGAGGTTTCTAGAAAACCAAACCATGACATTTTTCAATCGAATTTGGGGTCTTCACGTCAATCATTTTGTAGAGCATATCAAGTTACACATGTCAAACTATTTTTATAACTATTCGATTAGTTTTTATGCAATCAGAAACTTTTAGTTCAACTATTGATTAAAGGCATATCTTGTAGCCAAAACTCAAATTCAACCGAATTTGAGATGTGGCTGGGCAAAACTCAAATTGAAGTTTTGGCTAACGATTCTTTAGTCAAAACTGAAATTGGAGTTTGGGCTAGGCAAAACTTAAATTCAGCTAAAACTCAAATTTGGCTATGTCTAACTGAATTTCGACTAGAAGTTAGTCTGAAAATGTTATATTTCTTTTTCTCTCTGTTTTTGCTGAACGAAATAATGACATTTGTTTTCAAGCTGACTAGAGCATGGGCAAAAAAATGTAGAAAGACTATAGATGCTTGTAACGACCAGAAAGTTATCTTTTTTTCTTTTGTTATTGCATTCTTCTAACTGTACTTGTACATTGTATTTGAATTCTTCTCGACCGTCGTGTACATAAGAATCAATGTATAAATAGTCACAACTGTTGGTTGATAGTCATTTATTTTTATAACACGTTGTTTTCTAAAGAGCTCGTTTTTTATTTTATAATAGTAATATTATCACGTAGTAATTTACCATTTATTTTTATAATTATATTGTCTATATTGATCAATTAAATTGAAATTAAGTATGTCATCTGTTCCCTCTTCATCATTTAGTGTACAACATGCTTCTCCTGATTCAAATACAACTCTTTTTCCCGCTTCTACTACTGCTTCAACGTCTGAAACGAAATTTTATGATGACGTTGAAGAATATATTAATTCATTACAAGAAAAATATCGTGAGAAAACTGTGATAAAAAAGCATACATGTACTTGTAACGACCAGAGAGTTGTCTTTTTTTCTTTTGTTATTGCATTATGATTAATGCCCTCTATCGAACTACGTTAGAATTAACCCTTTCTGAGCCATTAAAGATAAGTCACGATCTAATGTGCTGATGCATACCTAATATATGTATGTGTTGTAGCCAAAACTTGAATTGGAGTTTTGGCTGGGCGAAACTCAAATTGAAGTTTTGGCGTGTCAAATTGAAAGTTGTGTTGCGTGTCAAGTTCGAAAACCATTAAAACAACCAGTTGTAACAAAACCAATAATTTCACTAGGAGTGATGACTAGACTGCAAATCGACTCGATTGATATGCGTACAAGACCCAATGTTATTTCATGTACTGTCGTTTATCGTTGGATTTTGCATTGCATTGATCATTTTTCTAAATTTACATGGTCTTTTCCATTAGCAAACAAATCTGCTGGAGAGGTTACTTCTAAACTCCGTCAGCTGTTTTTACTTTTGGCCCTCCACATTTGTTACATTCTGATAATGGAGCTGAATTTGTCGCACAGGTTATATTTGAATTGAAAAGCTTGTTTCCAGACATGTGTTTCATTCGAGGAAGACCCAGACATCCTCAAAGTCAAGGCTGTATTGAACGTGCCAATGGTGTTTTAAGTATTGCATTGGGTAAATGGTTAGATGCGAACAATTCAGTTAATTGGTCAGATGGTCTGCTACCAGTTGTTTATGGATTCAACACAAGAGTATCGTCAACGACAAAAACAACACCATATGAAATAATGTTTGGTCAACGTCCACGATCGGATTCCGATTTTTGAAAAATTGTAAAAGAATGTGATATAATCGATGAAGAACAACTACCAACTCCAATCGAATGCGCTGATGTTATTGTTGATGAAATTATTGAACAACCCACCATAAATGAAACTGTGACTGATGATTTTGATAAACAAAAAGAAAATGATAATTTAACTATAGATAATTTCATTCCTGAAATGTTTCCGCTTCTAAATACAAATAACGATACTACTTCTCAATCATCAGGGTCATCTGCATTAACATCTAATTCATTAATAATAGAATTACCACGACA